TCCCCGGCAGGGAGGGGACCCGGCAGCTCCCGGCTCCTGGCTTCCGTCACAGCCCAGAAGCCGTCTGGGCTGCAGGACCGAGCGGTGCCATTTGTTTTAGAAAAAGATTAAGCAGTGTCTCAAGTTTTCTAGATAATAAAGTCCATGCTCAGTGTTCATATTCAAACTTTTCTAAATGCTTTAGGGAGTGGATTTAATGAATAACTTAAAGTCTATCTTTTGGGAAGGATACTTCTTAATACAAATTAGATACTGTTCCAGAGGGCTGAATTCTTGCTTTAAAAAGATGTAGTCCCCCTGGGGCGAGCCAGCACTTGCCCGCTGGTGACTCAGCACAGACCGAGCTCAGGACACCGGCGCCCCGTCTTCCCCTTTCTCAGACCCTGTGCTCGGGGAGCCTTCCTCCTGTGCTGCTGCTCCTTCCCCGGCTGGTCCTGCAGCTCTGGGTGAAGTCGGAGTCGTCACCCTTGGGTCACCTCCCTGCAGCCATGTGTCCCGTCACTGCGGGTGGTGAAGGTGCACCCAGTCAGTGTCTTGTGGGAGAGAAGGGCGGCCTCTGCGCCTCGGTGACCCTGGGGCTTCGGGGAGGCAAGGACAGGAACAACGTGCTCTGGGACTGGTGGGGGCGGGGGAGGGACAGGTGGATGGGAGCCCAGCAGAAACCAGACACTCTGTTTCTACTTTTAATTTTTCCTGACACCGCGTAATTTGAAGTCCCGGTTACTCCCTGAACATCCCCAGGTGGGCCGTCACCTGCGGGGACGCTGTCAGCCCAGCACCTGTGCCAGAAACACCGAGAAAACCGAGACAATGTTTCCATTCGCTCACGTCTGAGTAGCGCTCTCCCCGGAGGTTTCACGCCTTCTCCGTGCGCTGCGTCCAGGCCACTGAAACACTGGTCACCTGCGGCTTCGTCACGGCAGTGACAGATCGATCGCGCCTTAGCCAGGCACATGCTGAAAACGTGGGGTGGCATCCAGCCGCCAAGGAATAGAAAATAGAATTCAAAAGCTGTTTTCTCTTAGCATCCTCCGAGTGACCAAGTTACGGGGACAGAGTCCCGACCGGGACAAAGGCAGGGCACCCTCGGGGACAGAATAGAGCGGTGTGAGCACAAGAAAGTGTGCGCGTGTGTGTGTGCGCCTGCACGCGTGTGTGTGTATGTGTGTGCGCGCGTGTGTGCGTGTTTCTGTGTGCCTGCACACAAGATAAAGAGCTGTCAGTTTGCACTGTCGTTTTCTGGATACAAATTTTAAAATTCATCTTTTAAATGTGTGCCCTACCACAGCTTTTACATTCTTTCAGGATAAGACTAATTCAATTTCAGGTTATTGATTGTTTAAACTATTGTGACTAAGAGCTAAATGTCTTCACTTATCTGTTAAAAATAAACATATTTAATATTTTTGCAAAAAGTACTATGAAAAGTGCATGTTATTAAATCTTACTGTGACATTGACGTGCGACGAAGCTAAGAATCCCGCTGTAAAGTGGAACATGTAAATCCTTTCGTTTTTAGTTTACGGAGATTGCTGGGTGGGCTGTGAGCCCTCGAAACCACCCAAGCTCTAGGTGTGGAAATGGAAGCGCACAGCCGAGCTGCCTGCACAGGGGCCTGGGAGGAGCCGGGGGTGAAGCCGAGCGAGGGCTCTGAGTTTTCGGCCCAGCAGAGGGCTCTGAGTTTTCGGCCCAGCAGAGGGCTCTGAGTTTTCGGCCCAGCAGAGGGCTCTGAGTTTTCGGCCCAGCGCGCTCGCAGATTTCATCCAAGAGCCAGGCAGGCCGCGTGACGGGGACAGAGCATGTCAGGCGGGTTAACGAGGCCCAGACATGAACCCGGCGGACACGCGTCCAGGTCGAGCGCGGGCGTCAGCCGAGCACTGTGCGGCGTGACAGGAAAGTGAGCGGCGAGGGCAGGGTCAGCACCTCTCCATCTCGGCCGCCGGCTCCGTCGCCGCATCCAGAATCGGGTCGGTGCCGAACAGGTGTTTGTCGATCGGCTGTGTGAATAAGTGGATGGACAGATGGGTTAGTGGAAAACACCGGCTGGGTGGACGGATGGGTGTGATTTGGGTGTGAGGAAACGTGTCGGCCTTGGCAAGATCCACGTAACTCAGCGCACCAGGCGACCGGTTCCTGGTGCTACAAAACCACGCGTCTGCAAAAAACCTGTCCAGTGCGCGAGACGGACCAGCGGATGTTCGTGTGACGGAGAAGGAAAGTCCGCCGATGGGCTTCAGACCCCACCTCCCCGCCGGCCTTTAGGAAGCCGCTGCTATCGGGAATGGCGCAGTCGAAGCGGAACCTTCTGTCATCTCCGAGGCCGTCGAAGCCGCCGTCCCCCCTCCAGCTGCGCATCCACGGGAGGCCGCGGTTTCCTCCTAACGCTTCAACCAAGACAGCAGATTCAGCACAGAAGCAGAGGTGAGCGTCCAGCTACGTCCCACGAAGGCAAACCTCAGAGTGACTTCAAAGATGCCAAACAGTGAGAGTCTCCTCACTGATTTCCATTGATTGGGGAAACGTGTTATCGTTAAAAATGATGTCGACGTTAACATCTGATGGGTTTATTATTGTAACTTTTAAAAATGCGTATTTCAGAGATTGCTCAGTTTTAGTAATGCAGTAACTATCCATAGCAATAACACATTTTCAAAGTGCTCTTTGGGAGACTGAAAAGTTGTGCAGGAGTGTGAAGAGTTCCTAAGGCCAAAAGTTTGAGAAGCACTGTTGCAGAGTCACTTGAAACGTGGTTGTCTCCTCGGGCCCCTGGGGCCTACGCCTCTGTGTGTCAATGGAACTAACGTGGTCGACTTCTCCTCCTGTACGCGGAGTAAACATAACACCGTCACACAAAGTCAGTGTCTTCTAGAAATATTCACTACATCTCCTTCTGAAATTCCTCGGCACTAAATTACAGAGCCTGCTTTTCAGAACGGACAAATTACAGGGCTGCCGCAAGAGTAAATCACTGCTTGGAGCCCATAAAACACAGGCCCTGGGACTTACGGAAGCCTAGAGCCTGGTGCGTGTTTCCCGCGAGTGACTAAACCTATCCCCGCAGCAC